CCTGAGCATACACACTTCAGGGTCAAAATAACGTTACTTACAATTTGTTCTCCTTCTTATTTGTGACTTAAAGTGACATTTCCCAGTCATTTTATTTTTAAATTTTAAATATATTTTATTGATTTTTTTACAGAGAGGAAGGAAGACGGATAGAGAGTCAGAAACATCGATGAGAGAGAAACATCAATCAGCTGCCTCCTGCACACTCCCCACTGGGGATGTGCCCGCAACCAAGGCACATGCCCTTGACCAGAATCGAACCTGGGACCCTTGAGTCCGCAGGCCGACGCTCTATCCACTGAGCCAAACTGGGCAGGGCTCCTAGTCATTTAATCTTAAATGTTTAGAATCCAAGGAGGGAGCCCTGCCCTGGCCGTGTGGCTCAGTGGCTGAGCGCCGTCCCAGATGCCAGGAGGTCACCAGTTCGATTCCAGGTCAGGGCACATGCCGGGCTTCAGGCTCCATCGCCAGTAGGGGGCGTGCAGGAGGCAGCGGGTCGATGTTTCTCTCTTATGGATGTTTCCCTCTCCCTCTCCCTTCCTCTCTGAAATCAATACAAACAACAGAAGCCACTGTTTGCCAAGTGGCTGGCTTACTGACGTGGCCTGGCTGCCCAGGCAGGTGTCCCCTCCTGCAGGCGTGACCCCCCCCCAACAGTGCTGGCTTTAAAAGATTTAAAAGGGGGTGGGGTTTAACCACGTGCCGGCACCTCCCGGGAGCACGTGGGGAGCTCTCCCAGGTGCCCCTGACGGAGCACCCGCCCCTGCTTCCCATCTGCCCCCGTGGCAGGGCAGCTGCATTTCCGGGCGTGGTCCCTGGTCCCTGGTCCCTGAGGGCTGGGGCACTGCAGCAGCTGCCAGTCACTCCCGTCCGAGGAGTCAGGGAAGGCCCGCCGAGCTGTTCTCTACTCCAAATCGGAGGAATTTGAAACACAACACACAGGCACACAGGGCTTGGGCTTTATTTAACGTCACTTCTGTGACCAGAGCCAGCGGGAGTCCGGGCGGGACAGAGCCACCTGGCCCCGGGCACCAGGGCCACATCCTCCTGCTGCCTGGCACTGCCATAAGCCAGGGCCCAGGGAGAAGGGCTGGACCCCGGCCACCGACAGGCGGTTAGATCCCGGGAACACGCTCCGGTGAGATCCCGGGAACACGCTCCGGTGAGATCCCGGGAACACGCTCTGGTTAGATCCCCGGGAACACGCTCTGGTTAGATCCCCGGGAACACGCTCCGAGAACCAGCCGCTTCCCGCCAAGCTTGGCGCGCAGGTCGGGGTGGCTGGGTGGGCTCCTAGCTGCTGGTCTTCCGCTTCGGTCGCAGCTTGTTCCAAACCCTCTCCAGGGCCACTCTGCCCATGAAGAAGGTGATGGCAAAGTTACGCTTGTACCAGTCCCTGCAGAGGAACGGACAGCGGTGACCCCCAGCCGGACACTGAGGACTGACCGAGAGGCGAGTGGCCTGACTGCCCCCTCCTCTCCCGGCCTCAGGAAGGCCCAACTGTCCCTATACGCCTTCCCTCCCTCCACCTGGACTTCACCAGGCTGAGAATAGGCAACTCGGGGATGCCAGTGAGGCGCCAACCCCTTGGCATCCACCCTGGAAGCCCCTGCAGGCCGCCTGGTTTTTGCTGAAAGCCTGCAGAGGAGCCCTCGGAAGCCGGGGCCTCTCGGCCCAGGGCCTCCTGCAGGGACAGTTACTGAGCGAGGGGGGCCTCGTGGCCTTGGCACTGACCTGCCTCAGAAGCAGGAGACAAGGCACCTGTGAGGGGCTCACTACGGCGTTGCCAGCGTCACAGAGCCCCGGCCTCTCCCGCGCGGTGGCCCGCGCTTCTGTATAGGTTGTGTCTCTAAAGGGACAGCTCCACGGCTTCTGACAGACTGGGCTGGGGCCCCCGGTCCCGGCCTGCTCGCCTGCGACTGACTTACAGAACGCCTCACACTTGCAAATGCCCACTGTGGGCAGTGAGTGGCGAAGCTGGAACGTGTCCTCAGCGGAACACACATCCCGGACCCTCCGGCGGAGCCTCGGAGGCTGGGAGGCCACGTGCCCGGCTTTCCCACCAAACGAGCCGATGCAAGAATGAGCAACAGCCGGGGACACCCGGGAGCTGGCGCCTCCGCCGTGAGAACCCTCTTTACACTCCGGCCACTTCAGGTGCCAGCAATGGGGACAGGGCCCGGAGTGAGCCGGGCTTCCCGGAAAACGACGACACAGATCCCAGGAGGCTGTTCCGCCTTCAGGAAAAGCAGGTGCCGCCCCCACGCAGACGACCGGCCTGACAGGTGTAGGGAGGAAGGGCGGGCTCCGTTTCCGCGGGGACAGCGGGCGGGCTCCGGCGCTGCCTAGCCTGGCTGAGGCTGGCCCGTTCCGCTCTGAGAGCCACCAGCGCACGTCCGGCTCTCAGAGGGACGCGGAGGTCCAGAGAGAGCTGCTCCCGGTCGGCTGAGCAGCGTTACGGCTCAGAGCACCCGCGGCACCAGCAGTACCTTCGCTCTCCCAGCTCCCAGCCTCGGCCGGTACCACCAGGCTCTAGCCCAGTGATGGCGAACTTATGACACGCGTGTCAGAGGTGACACGCGAACTCATTTTTTTGGTTGATTTTTCTTTCCTAAATGGCATTTAAATATATAAAATTAATATCAAATATATAAGTCTTTGTTTTACTATGATTGCAAATATCAAAAAATTTCTCTATGTGACACGGCACCAGAGTTAGGGTTTTTCCAAAATGCTGACACGCTGAGCTCAAAAGGTTTGCCATCACTGCTCTAGATCCTGCCTCTCCTGCTCCACGCGGTGCCGCCACTGTTACATTTTAAAGCAAATCTCTGCCCAGCCCAGGAACCAAGAGGTCCCAGGTTCGATTCCCAGTCAGGGCACATGTCTGGGTTGCAGGCTCGATCCCCAGTAGGGGGTGTGCAGGAGGCAGCTGATCCATGATTCTCTCTCATCATTGCTGTTTCTTTTCTTTCTTTTTTTAAAAAAAATATATTTTTATTGATTTTTTACAGAGAGGAAGGGAGAGGGATAGAGAGTTAGAAACATCGATGAGAGAGAAACTTTGATTGGCTGCCTCCTGCACACCCCCTACTGGGGATGTGCCCACAACCAAGGTACATGCCCTTGACCGGAATTGAATCTGGGACCCTTCAGTCTGCAGGCCGACACTCTATCCACTGAGCCAAAACAGTTAGGGCAGTGGTTCTCAACCTCTGGCCCTTTAAATACAGTTCCTCATGTTGTGACCCAACCATAAAATTATTTTCGTTGCTACTTCATAACTGTAATGTTGCTACTGTTATGAATTGTAATGTAAATATCTGATATGCAGGATGGTCTTAGGCGACCCCTGTGAAAGGGTTGTTCGACCGCCAAAGGGGTCGCGACCCACAGTTTGAGAACTGCTGAGTTAGGGCATCATTGATGTTTTTATCTCTCTCTCCCTCTCTCTTCCTCTCTGAAATAAAAAAATCCTATATAATAAAAGGCTAACATGCAAATCAACCGAACAGTGGAACAACCGGTCACTATGACGCACACTGACCACCAGGGGGCAGGCACTCAACAAAGGAGCTGCCCCCTGGTGGTCAGTGCGCTCCCAAAGGGGGAGCGCCACTCAGCCAGAAGCCGGGTTCATGGCTGGTGAGTGCAGCAGTGGTGGCAGGAGCCTCTCCCACCTCCGTGGCAGTGCTAAGAACCCCTCAGGGGATGTCCGCCTGCTGGCTTAGGCCCGCTCCCCATGTAAGCCGGCAGGTGGACATCCCCCAAGGGGTCCCGGACTTCGAGAGGGCACAGGCCAGGCTGAGGGAACCCCCAGGCCTCTAGTATGTATATTAAAATAAACAAATAATAAAGCAAATCTCAAACATCACATCCTATCGTTTCACCTGAAATACACACCATTATGTGCCGTTAAACCTTCTCTAAAAGCACATCACCACATACTGCCACTGCATCTGATAGAATGAATGACTCCTCATCAACAGGACCTAATAGCCCTAGCTGGTGTGGCTCAGTGGATAGAGCATTGGCCCGTGGACTGAAGGGTCACGGGTTCAATTCTGGTCAAGGGCACGTACCTTAGTTGCAGGCTCAATCCCTGATTCCAGTCGGGGCATTTGTGGGAGGCAACCGATCGATGTCTCTCTCTCACATCTATGTTTCTCTCTTTCTGTCTCTCCCCCTCCCTTGCACTCTCTCTAAAAATCAATAGAAAAATGTCCTCGGGGGAGCAGTAAGAAAAAAGGAAACACCTACCTGTTATAATGCATGTGCTTCTGAAAATTTTTACTCAGAAATTCCTTATAAAAGTCAGCCATTTCTTCTGCATTCAGTGTTGCCTTTTGACCTGGAAATAAATTTCAACTTACACACGAATACTTCAGGGAAAGGAACCCACAAACAACTAGTGACCTAAAAAACAAGTCGAGCAAGGTTGCAGGACACAAGATCAACATATAAATGTCAACTGATTTCTATTCACCAGCAACAAACAATCTGAAAATGAAGCTAGAGAAACTATTCCATTTACAATAGCATCACGAAGAAGAAAAGACCGAGGAGTAAATGTAAGAGGGAGAAGGGCATTTGAGATCTTACTTCCCGGCAATGTGGTCAGTTTGGCCCAAATAAACTCATAAAAATGCTCTTTGAAAAAGAAAGAAAAGAAAAAGAGCCCCGGCAGGTGAGTCAGTGGTTAGAGCATCGCCCATACACCAAGGTCGGTTCAGTGCCTGGCCAGGGCACACACAAGCAGCAACCAGTGAGTGCACAGTAAGTAAGTGGAACGACTAACTGATGTTTCTCTCTCAAATCAATCAATCAATTAAAAAAAAAAAAAGATGGACGGACCACTAACTCACCCACGTTTACTGGAAACCAGCGTCCCACCGTCCCACCCTGTCCCACCCTGCTGTCCGCGCTGAACTTGTCTCCTGGACGCAGACGGTGCGTCAGGCGCTGTCCTCGCACTATGCCCAGCCCCGTCTCCATGGCAGCAGCCACGCTCCTTCAACACAACCCCAGCCTGGCCCTCTGCTGTCCAGGCCCCCCCACCCCCACCCCGGCCTGACCCCGGGGCCAGCCTGTGCTGGCTGCTTCCTCGCACCGGGAGCTATAAACAGGCGGAGGGAGCCGAGGAGGTGCGGGGTGGGGCCAGCGGGCCTGAGACGGGAGGGCCGGTGTCCTGGGTCCCTTTGCTGCCAGGTCGGAGCGCGGGGCATGGGGACGGCCGGGAGGGCGGGGCTGTCATCCCGCAGACACGGGGGATGGAGCTGGCTGGGCGCACTGTCAGGCTGCTTGTGGGTGGGACGCCTGGCTGTGCTGCCGAGAGAGGGTTTGGGGCGGGCGTTGCCGACTGCAGCCGGGACTGTCAGCGGTGCCTGCTGGACACACTGGCCCTCGGCACAGGGCACAGCGGCGGAGGGAGGCAGACCCCGGGCCCCCTGACTAGCCCTTACCCTCAGCCGGTTACAGAAAAGCTTGCCCACCCCACTTACAGGCCCGGCCACACCCACGAGGAAGTCACTGCGACGGGCAGAGAACCAACAGGCCGCACTACCATGAGGTTAAAGCGCGGGGAAAGCGGAAACGCTGAGAGGTAGCCGGGCACGGAGACAAAGGCGGGACACTTGGAGGGGGCCTCCCCGATCCGCTCACGGGAGCCTGGGGCCACCCCGAGACCAGGAGCTGGTGCCGGGGGGCGGAGGGCGGAGGAGGCCATGCGCTGGAAATGAGCGGGATCAGCGGAGGGCGACCTCGCAGAGTGGAGGGAGCAGGGGAGGCAGGGCTGTCCACTGAGTCCCTGGGGCGCCTGCCCCGCCCCCTGAACTCTCTCCTTTTGAGCTCCTCATGCCGTTACTTAAGCAAGAAAAAGAACAAACAAACTCACCTGATTCAGTTCTCAGGCCCAGGCCCTTTGCTTTTAGTCTTGAGTGAATAAATTCTTCTTTTTCCTAAAAAAAGACAAATATCAGACCCCCTCTGCCTCCCCATGTCCCCCCGGTGGGACACCGCCCCAGACACCTATCAGACCCCCTCTGCCCCCACACCCCGTGTCCCCCCTGGCGGGACACAGCCCCAGCGCTCTGGAGAAAGAAAGAAAGGGAGGGAGGGAGGGAGGAAGAAAGGGCCAGTTTTCAAATGTCTCAGTTTAGTTAAAAGTGTTGTGCTTGTTTATTTATTTATGTTTTTAATCCTCACTGGAGGATGGTTGTTCCATTGATTTTTTTTTTTTTTTTAGAGAGAGTGGAAGGGAAGGGGAGGAGACAGACAGAGAGAGAGAGAGACATCGATGTGAGGGAGACACATCAATTGGTTGCCTCCTGCATGCGCCCCAACTGGGGCCAGAGATCAAACCTTCAACCCAGGTGCATGCTCTTGACTGGGAATCAAACCCATGAACCTGTGGCCGAGGGCCAAACTCTAACTACTGAGCCAAACGGGCCGATGGATTTTTTTTTAATATATATTTTTATTGATTTCAGAGAGGAAAGGAGAGGGAGAGAGAAACATCAATGATGAGAGAGAATCATTGATTGGCTGCCTCCTGCACACCCCCATTGGGGATCGAGCCTGCAACCCAGGCATGTGCCCTTGACCAGAACCAAACCTGGGACCCTGCAGTCCGCAGGCTGACGCTCTATCCACTTAGCCACACCAGCCAGGGCTGATGGATATTTTTCATGTATATGCACAGTATCTCCATACTGTGGAGAACAGTATGGAGTTTCCTCAGAAAACTAAAAATGGAACCCCAAAGGGTCCCAGGTTCGATTCTGGTCTAGGGCATGTACCTCGGTTGCAGGCTCCTCCCTGGCCCGGGCCCTGATCGGGGCTCGTGTAGGAGGCAACCAATCGATGTGTCTCTCTCACATCCATGTTTCTCTCTCTTCCCTCTCTCTCCTACTC